ACAGGCAGGGAAACTTTGAAACTTATAGGGGGGAAAAGTGTAAAACCCTTGAACCCTTCCCAGGCAGGGCACTCATACTAGCTGGGTTGCCCACTTGTGCTTTATGCCAAGTGTATTCTTTTTTAAAAATGTGTTTTTATTGATTTCAGAAAGAAGAAGGAAGAGAAAGGGGGAGAGAGAAACAGTGCCTGAGTGGCAGCCTTACAAACTCAGAGACCTAAAGTACCACAAAACATGGTCTAAAACTTTTAAACTAAAAGTGGTTCATGGAGGGTAGTCATGTCCTAAAGCAATATTTTTTCCTAACAAAGGTCAATCTTTACCTTAACTAAACCTGTCTGTTTTCTTTTTGCATCTAGGATAACATATTTGATAAACTGGTCTTTGCAATAACAAAATAATTTCCATTTTCCAGACCCTTCAAAGCACAGTCATGGCACCAGGGCAGAGGCCACAAATCCCCTCATTGTTATTATTATCATGATAATTGTTGACTGTTGTAACTATCATGTACCCATCTATGTAAAAGAGGTATGTGTCAATCATTTTACTTTTTATCCAATTCCAGAGGCTCCCTCCTTCCCTGCTTTGCTTTCTCCAGCCTCCTTAATATATAACCAATGGATTTCACGTAACCCATTTAGGTCTTCTCTTTTTATTGTAATGTTTAAAATAAGGTGCAAAACTGCCATTTTCCAGAGCATTGTCTCAGTCCATTGAGATTTTTGCTTCTTGGCAATTGTCAACACTTTAGCTCAAATAAATGCATAAAAATTCTCTACAGTTTTGAACATTTCTTACATTGACAGGGCCTTGCTAACAGGTAGCAAGAAAAAATGGGGAATCAGTCCTATAATTGCAAGGAACTAAATTCTTCCAACAGCCTGAACAAACTTGGAAGAGGACTTTTAAGTCCAGGTGAGACCACAGACATGGCTGACATATTTTTTTTTCTTCCTTCTGGCTGATATCTTCATTTTAGTCTTTTGAGATCCTGAGTAGAGAACCAATTATTCCATGCCTGGACTTCTCACCTACAGAAACTGGAAAATACTAACGGGTATTGTTTTAAGCTGCTTAGTTTGTGGTAAGTTGTTATGGAGCAACAGAAAATTAATGCAGGTGATAAGGGCTGAGAAATTCCCTCACAGTAGCAGGGAGTTCATAATTCACTGAGAAGTCAGGAAAGCCTGGAATCAGACAAATCTGAGCTCAAATTTAAGCAACACTATTTATTAGCTGTGTGGTTTTGGGCAAGTGTGCTTTGAGTCTATTCTTTCATACCTAAAATAGAGTTAAATAGTTATCTCATAAAGTTGTTATGAGGCTTAGATGGGATAATAAATAGTTTGAGTATGCAATGACACATCATAAATTATAGTCATAATTGAATTAAACAACAACACTCTAGTAGCCAATCTAAGGCACTGTAGGCAAAGTGGAGAAACGGACAGCAGAGTGACCAGTTAGGATTCAGTTGGAATATACTCCAGTATTTTCTCAAAAGTGGGAGCCCTGAACACACCCTGAGCTTCTGGCTCTTGGGGATTTTGTAACAGGATAGCAAGAAGCTAGGAAAATTCCGGGGCAAGTGGAGTAGGGAAACTGAAAAAAAAAAACAACCCTAAACTAAACAAGGCCAAATGGTTTGGGCATCTTGTAGCCAGTTTGCAGCAAGCCCTTATTTTCCTGAACCAAGGACACTTGAGAGCAAATGGTTAATACCTCTCCTCCCTATCCAGAGAATGCAGGAAAGGAGGGGAGAAGGGGAAAGGAAAGAAAGGAGAGTTTTATTTCACCCACTAAACAAAGAAGTCAGCTGTTATGGGGAACGGGGAGAGAAGAGGGAGTTTTATCTCACTCTTTAAACAGAGAAGCCATCAGTCTTAGGGCTTGTCAAGATAAAATCTCCAGAAGTTTCTCATAAATTCTGGGAAAGTCATAAGAAAGGCAAAGGGAGACCTTGAGATCTAGCAAGATATCCTACAGAGGAATTTTTTTTTTTTATCCTCACTGAGGATATTTTTTTCTTTCCTTTTCAGAGAAAGTGGAAGGGAGAGAGAAAGAGAGAGAAACATCAATGTGAGACACACTGATTGGTTGCCTCCCGAACTCACCCCAAGCAGGGCCAGGGATGGAGCCTACAACCAATGTACATGCCCTTGACCAGAATCAAACCCAAGACCCTTCAGTCTGCAGGCTGACACTCTAACCACTGAGCCAAACCAGCTGGGGTCCAGCAGAGAAATTTTAAAACCTGTAGACAGAAAAGTATAAAAGTCTAAACCTCTACCAGGCAGGGCTTCTCAGATTAGCTGAGAAGCCTACATATGCCTTAAGCCAGGTGTATTTTGATAGATCTACTTGCTTTGCTTCTTTGATAAATTTATTTGCTTTACTTCTTTAATAAATTCACTTTACTGCAACACTGCTGTCTGGTGTCACTGATTTGAAACCTTTCCTATGAGACTGACAAAAACTGAGGAGGGGACAGCTCTCTCCCTGCAACTCAGGGGGCTGTCTGATAACACCTTTTCTGGTATTTCAGGTATCTATAATAATTTTGATGAATATTAATTGAAATGCAAAGAGGTCAAAGCTTTCCCACGTGTTCTTTGGTTAGGTTGGTGGGAGAAGTTGAGGGCAGGTGATTTGAAAAAAGTTTGTTTATCCTTTTTCCAGTGTCAAAGTAAGAAATATTCAAACCTGTGAAGAATTTTTGTGTTTATTTGAGCCAAAACTATTGACAATTGCTAGGAAGCAAAATCTCAGTGGATTGAGATAATGCTCCAGAGAATAGCAGTTTTACACCTTATTTTATGTATTACAATTAAAAGAGGAGATGTCAGTGGGTTTTATGAAACCTATTGGTGATAGGTTAGGGAGGCAGGAGAAAGCAAAGAGAAGAAACCTCTGGGGTTGGGTAAAAAGTAAAATGATAGACACACACTTTTTCACTTAGATGGGTGTAAGATAGTTAACAGTCAACAATTAACTCAATAACAATGAGGGGATTTGTGGCCTCTACAGAGCAGTGCCTGTGCTTTGAGGGGTCCATAAAAAAGAAAATTACTTTGACATTCCAAAGATACATTATCATAGATGCAAAATGACAACAGACAGATTCAGTTAAGGGAAACATTGACCTTGGTCAGAAAAGGCACCAGCCTAGGACATGACTACCTACCATAAACTGCTTTAGTTTAAAAAGTTTTAATTTCAGACCATCCTTTGTCTTTACCTTAGGTCTCTGGGTTTGCATCGCCGCCATGTCGGCCTTCCTTGAGCTAGTTAAGTAAGCATGTGGCCCCAGTCATCCACACCAGACAGGCTGGTAACCCCTAAAGCCATACTGCTAGGGAGGCAAAAGAAAAAGGCAGATGCTGATGACCAGGAGACAGGGCCTGGAGTGAGGAAGAGGAGACTGAATGTCCATTTTTTCTTTCCTCATTGAGTACAGGGATAGAAATGAGGAATCCCAAGACAAAAGAAACTGTCTCATTACCTCAGGATGTCAGTGAGTTAATTCAGACCTGGGAAAAGTGCAGAGCAGCTCAAAGTCAAGATGTAGTTATGTTAGGGGCAGAGATGTTGATCATGTTCTCTTGACCGTGGTTGGTAGCTATAGTTACAAGAAATATTAATCATGTTCTGTTAACTGTGATTATTCTGTTCTAATTAGAAAAAGCACTTTCTAACCTGGCTGGAAATTATCCTTGGAATGCAGTTTATTCTCTTTTTCCAAGAACTGCCTATCATCATGGACAGATTAACAACCTTGTTCCCAAAACAGTGGAATCCTGGAGCACCTGCCCATTGCAACCCCCAGCCCACATTGCCTGTAACCTGGTCCTGGAACGGCCCACCTGGGTCCCCAAGGCACCCTCCCTCTATGAACCCTTTCCCACACTCAACCCACCTTGCCTACTTCCCCATGCCTGTAATTCCTATTTTCCCATGTAATCTTTGTCCTTCTACCCAATATCAGCTGACTTATGGGGGGGGGCTGCAGCAGCAGAGCAGATTTTTGTGGATGACCATTACCGCTCTCCCAATTTGCCAGCAATATTGGAATAAATGCTCATATACAATTCAACCCTGTCTCTGCTTAATTGTCTCAAGTGGTGACACACAGCCCAGACCCATTGTTGTCCAGGTTTCAGTTAGTGAGGCCAGATTCTATCATAAAAGCCTGGGAATTTAGCATTGTGGGTGGAGTTTGGCCAGAAATATTCAGGTGAGTCCTCCGAATTGGGGATCTGGTGAATAGAGCCTTGATTGTCTGCAAGCAATCTAATTTCTAAGCCTGTTTCCTTATTTGTAAAGTAAAGTGGTTGGACTAATTTTTTTTTTTTTTAATGTTTTTATTGGTTTTAGAGAAACATCAATGAGAGAAACTTCATTCAGCTGCCTCCTGCACACCCCCTACCAGGGATGGAGCCTGCAACCTAGGCTTGTGCCCTGACCTGGAATCTAACGGGGGACCTCTTGGTGCACGGGAGGAGCTCAACCAACAGAGACACATCAGCCAGGGCTAGACTCATTTTTTTAATGCTTGAGATTTATGACATAAGAACAGTTACTAATAATTTATATGTAAACAGTTGCTTTCCCCTCCCCCAGTCGTTCTCTTATTTTAGGCTCAAACGGGGGTAGGAGGAAGCAGAGGTATTTTTATTTTAACTTGTCGTTATTATTGTTATTCACATTTCGAGGTGATGGAGTAGCCCC